TAATCACATATTTCTGGTCCTTTAAAGTGACATCATGTTTTATTTTACTCATTCGTGCTTTTTTTTAGATTTTTTTATACCAGATTTTCTAGCAATTTGCTTAAGTTTCATGTAATTTGTTGTTTTTTTTATTGCATTATTTACTTTAATGCACTTGCTAAACTCCTTGAGTAGAGAACAATAGGACATATGTTAGGAGGTACATCGGGCCCTTGAGACCCAACAATTGCATGTACATTTAAACTTAAAATTAAACCTGAAACTGATACGACGTGGAACTTGGAGCTAACACCGTGGGCAGGGGGCAACACGACGAGGATGTACAAGACAGCTTTGAAAGAGAAAATAGGTCTACAACAACAAACATTTCCTTAGAATTAAACAATCCATAGGATTTCGAGGTAGTCTGTCTAGCGCTACATAAATCCTCACTTTATCTTTTAGGCCTTTGTACAACCCTGTTGTGCAATCTAAGCCCTACTTCGTTTTAGGCTACGAGGTTGTCGCCCGATACGACATAAACCCCCATATCTTCCAGGTCATTTGTATGACTGTGTCACACAAATATAAGTTCTAAATAATAGAAATGGCATGATGAAACATCAAATAACATAATAATATATGCTCGAAATTAAAGTCAAATAATAGAATAGTTTGAGAAGTCATCGAGGTTTCCCTCATATGCTCGAAATTAAAGTCAAATAATAGAATAGTTTGGGAAGTCATCGAGGTTTCCCTCATGATCCGTGACATCCCCTACTTTTCTTTTCTTTGATTCCAGAAATAAATGTTCTCAGTTGGTCTTCTTCCCACTTTACATTTCTATGTCCAACCTTCAAAACCCTAAGCATTGAATTAATGAAGGTGGATACCTTTGATCATCATCGAGAGTTCTTTTAAGTGACTTTAGTCATTTGAGAGGTAATTAACTATAGGGGGTTTGCCTCTATAGGGAGCTTTAAGAACACAGGTAAGATAAACCATATCTAATTTTTAATCTTAAGTAGAGAAATTTGTTGGTCAACATAAATTGTTCGCAGACCAGACAAATGTCATAAATTCTGTAGTTTATTTAATCGAGTCTCACTGTCAAGTAACGGGCATATTCCTCGAAAGGTGCATTACTTACGGTGTTATGGTCGTTTATTTAACTTATTAAATGAATGAGATCCATCCAGTCTCATTTTTCAAAAATTAAAATATTATTTTCAAGAAAATCAAGTTTATATATATATATATATATATATATTCCAAAAATATAATAAAAATAACGGCAGACATTCCCATAGAAAAATCCTCTACTTTAAGATCAATAAGAACAAGAGAAGATTATGGTTGTTGAAACATGAGATTTCGCAAGCATCATATCTTAGAAATAGGTCATCAACTTACAAGTGAGTCCCCAATTATCTTTTCTAAAGAATGAAAAGATGAACTGAATACTTCAAGAAAAAGTGGGACCGTAAAGAAAGCATGAATTTTAAAAAGTAACCATTTAAATGACATTGCCTTTCAACTGGGTTGATCAAGTTGATTGTGACAAAGTAAATTTAAAATTCAAATGTAGAGTTGATGAGGCAACTAAATATGTACAAAATTTTCACCATTCGAAAAAAACCAACATTTTTTTCTAATCTTTTGATTTGAATTGATATATGGAATCACACGGTAACAAAAAAAAATATTGAATCAAAGTTTAGATGACGATCTGCCAGGCCTGCTCCAACGTGATTTTAAATTCTCAAGTATGATTTTAAATTTCTATAGAGATCAATTTGTCAAATTATATATCAATGGAAAGCTTTGAAGTATGGTTTATGCAGAATCATAATTTCCTATATTTGGATTATGTGGCGAATCAAGTATGCTCAAATTTCCAAAAATGTGGCATGGAAGAAAATATGACAACTATGGCAACTTGAGGTACATTTGCCAGTTCATAGTTAAGTCAAGGACATATATCTTTCTAAGAGTTAATGAGTAAAAGGCATCAAGGTCAAAGAATAAATTTTAATAATGATAAAAATAAAATCAAGCCTTATAGCATCTTCACTCTTCCAACAAATCTTAATTTCATGACTTGTAGATCCCTACTAGGTTTCAATTAGTGAACAAACATTTGAAGCATGGCAAGTTGCGTGATTATAAGTTTACTAATATCCAATTAAATTCTACCAAAGTTAAAGAATAGCCATCTTAATATAAAACCTTGGGCAAACTGTGAAACTCCTTAAGTAGAATGTGACGAACTCTTAAACATCAAGACGTTTTTTGGTGTAACGGTGGAATTTTAATAGAAACTCTAAAGTGTGCTCATCATGGAGCACTCCTAAGATGGTGACCTCTTGGGAAGTTACATCAACTAAACGGACAATATATTAAGAGTGTTACATCATGGGAGACATCCATCATAGGAAGGCTACGCCATGGAGACACCCATCTTAGAAGTGCTCCATATGTTCTATATGGCATTTAGTTCCCATCTTTTGTCACAAATGGTATCAGAGCATTACACCAACCACAAGATGGGAAATAAGTGTCATATAGAACAAAGTACGACGTCATGGGAGACACCTCTTGAACCCAAGATGGGACAAAGTGCTACATGATGGTAGCCACCTTTTGAATTTGTAAGGGTCACTTCTAAAATCATATGTCTTGTGGATGATTCTGGAATAAGAGAACAGGCGTACTTATGTGGGGAGATTGCGAAACCCCTTAAGTAGAATGGCGTCGAACTTTTAAACATCGCGGCGCATTTTGGTTTAATGGTGAAATTTCAATAGAAACTCCAAAGTTAAGAATGTGCATGATGGAACACTCCTAAGATGAGAGACCTCCTAGAAAGTTACAGCAACGGGGCAAAACCATGAGACCATTTTGGTCAAAGCGGACAATACCTTGATGGGTTAGAGTTCGGGCAATCACATGAAGGTTAACTAAGCTAAAGAATATCCATCTTAATATGAAAGTTGGGCAAACACTATTTGCACATTCATTTTAAGTGTCTCATCCATGCTTGATGGAGCTCAAATCCAAACGAAAATTAAAAAATAATAAAATGATATGTTGTCATTTGTCCAGCTCGTCAAATAAACTCATAAATAACTAAAAGTTTGTTCGCCCTACGCAAATTCGAAGCTCTGGCTCCCTTCCTCAGCTCCATTATGCGAACAAAGCGCCTCTTCTTCATCTTCCTCAGCTCCACTATGTGAGCACCGCGCCGAGTTCTCCTCCTACCTCCTTTGCCTTTAGTCGCGACTCTAGTTGATACTGCAAGCCCTCGAAACAGCCTTCTCCTCCTCCGCACGGTATCGACACACAAAACCGCAACTTCCTCCTTTTCAACTTCAATTGACTAGGGCTTCGCACAGGGCAACACGTGTGTGGTCTTTCTCCTTACTCCTCTTCCTCCGCACGTAAGCACAGTATCAAAGCCACTCAACCACCTTCCTTCCCTTCCTCCCTTCGATTTCTTCTTCTCCTTCACCTCTACGGTTTGATTTATCGCCCCTCTGATTCCTTCGTTCAAAAGAAGGCACACAACTCTTAAGTCGTAATTGAAATGAAGTGTATCCTGGGTGTCTATCGATTTATTATTATTATTATTATTATTATTATTATTATTATTATATTTATTTGTTGTTTAATTTGAGTTATTACACTTTTGGAGCAAAGGATTGTAACTGAGGAGCATCAAAGGTGGCTATCCAAGTTACGAAAATATGATTTTGAGAGTCAGTACTAATAAGGATTGAAGAACAAGGTCAAAGATATACTGTCGAGAAAGGTGGAGAAGCCCTAGCTGATAATATTATCGGTTCCCTTGGTCTTAAAGAGTGGTGGTCAAAAGTGGTTATCCAAGTTATTTGGAAGCATTGAATCAAGAGAGCAGGCAGAATGAAGGGTTGAGAAAAATACAAGCAGGGTTGCTATAGGATTCAAACAGTCACCCAGGATATGTACTGAGAGGGAAACAACTACTCTATCAGGGCTGGTTCTTGCTGCCGAGGGCATCAAATTATATCGCCTAACTACTGTAGGAATTTCATGGCAATGTAATCAAGGGACACTCGGGGGTACAAAAGGCTTACAGTTAACTATCAGCAGAGTTATATTGGATGGGAATACATAGAGATATAAAGGATATAGTGGTGAGGTGCAATGTCTGCTAACGACAAAAGTATTCGGCTATAGTGCCAAGAGAATCACTGCAGCCCCTAAATTTACCCGAGAAGGTAAGGAAGGATGTGATGAAGGACTTTATAAAGTGGTTTGCAGTGATATTAGCGGTAGTGGACCGTCGAAGCAAGTACACACATTTCATTCCATTAAGACACCCTTACATTGTTGTCTCAGGCGCCACGGTGTTCATTCGCGAAGTGGTTTGTTTGCATGATGTTTCAGAATCTATTGTATCAAACAGGGATAAGGTGTTCGTAAACATTTATGGAAGAAACTATTCAGGTTACAAGAAACAGTCCTAAAGAGAAGCACAATATATCATCCCCAGACAAATGGTCGGACAGAGATGGTCAACAGGAGTGTAGAGATGTACCTACGTTGTTTTGTATCAGATGCTCTGAAGCAATGGGCAAAGTGGATTAATTGGGCGGAGTATTTGTACAAATGCTTTGTACAATACCGCGACATAGACAACCCCTTTCAAGATTTTGTATGGGGATACACCTCACTTGATATGCTATGGGAATAGCACCACACAAGTATCCAATGTAGACTGGTACTTAGAGGAGAGAGGTAGGATATTGGTCGGGCTCAAGGAGCATCTACTGAGGACTCAACAGATCATGAAGAGGAAGACAGACAGACATAAGAGAGAGATACACTTTGAACCCGGTGACATGATTATTTGAAGCTGAGGCCTTACTGGCAGAAGACACTGCCCAGAAGGAACAACAAGAAACTTTCTCCACGATACTTTGGACTTTACAAGATTACGACATGCATTAGGGTAGTGGCATATCGTCTGAAGCTACCACCTTCATCATCATTGCATTCAATCTTTCACGTATCACAACTGAGGCGTGTTCTTGGAGATCACGTACCCTCTTCTTCACTACCTCAGACACTGACAGAGGACATGGAAGAGGTTCTTCAAAGAGGTGCACCGAAGAAGGGCGGGAGCGAAGGAGGTACCGATTAATTGGAAAGATCTGCAGACAATTAAGCGATATAGAAGTCGTATGAAGTGATCCAGATTAGTTTCCAGCATTACACATTGAAGACAATTTGCTTTTTTGGAAGGGAAGTAATGATACGCCGGCTCTTCTAGTGAGGTTGGCACTGTCAAGATTTGCACACGCACTGATCCAGGGACCGACCTGGACCAACCAGACCCGGTTGGCCCAACTTTGGGGGTGGAAACCCAAGTAGAAATTGAGGATGATTCCAACAGTCAGATGGGGCCCATGCACTCTTTAATCACATACACGAGAAAAGAATTAGGGCAAAAATTTAAGGAGACCTTGGGGGGTATTTATTAAGGGAAAGTAGCTAGGGTTTGCTTTATGTTATATTTGCTCACAGTTTTCCATTTGGAGCCTTGTTTCTAGCGGCATCCAGGTTTTGTGGAGAAACAATCTACTTCTCGAATTGTAGATCAAAGTTGTATCTTGTTGTTCTGTTAGGAGATAACAAAACTAGCCCTAATTTTAATTTTCCCACTTATTTCGTGCCATTTTTTGGCTGATTATGGATCTGGCGTTTATCAATTACAAGATTGTAAGTTTATACAAAATGATTGAAAAAAATATTATTCCATGTCAATCACAATCCAATATTTTGATCATCACAGAAATATCAATTTATCCTTATGCATGTCAGCTCAAAATTTCTATCAACAACTCTTTATATATTGAAAACATTATACAATCATTTCATCATCAAAACTATTGAGCATATCCTTTTGATGTACATAAGCAGAAAAACATTCATCCAAAAATGTGGCATGCGGTTAAACGACTTCACAGAATTCTCATTGAGGATATCTTTTTCGATGAAAGTAGAAAAGAATTCATCCAAAAACCTCTCATTAGTGGAGAATGAAATTAAACTATTGATCTTGTAATTGATAAAATCAAAGCTAATTTCACAAGTATACCAAATTAAATGAATAAGGAATAACTGAAATGAATATTATAAAATTATTATTATTATTTATTTGTTTAATTATAGTCAGCCAAACTTTATTATTCGAACAGAAATACAAGTATTGGACTGGAAACCGTATTAAGAAAACTAGCCAAATAGCCATATTCAGGCAATACCCATTTGATCTTTTTTCACAACGTAAACCAACTCTAGATGCCACATTAGATTGGGTTTTGACAAGTGGTTCACATTTTTTAGGGAAAGCGCCGTTACAAATAAATTATTCAAATTCACGTTTATGAGGTAAACTATACATACATCAAATGAATATTATAAAATTATTATTATTATTTATTTGTTTAATTATAGTCAGCCAAACTTTATTATTCGAACAGAAATACAAGTATTGGCCTGGAAACCGTATTAAGAAAACTAGCCAAATAGCCATATTCAGGCAATACCCATTTGATCTTTTTTCACAACGTAAACCAACTCTAGATGCCACATTAGATTGGGTTTTGACAAGTGGTTCACATTTTTTAGGGAAAGCACCGTTACAAATAAATTATTCAAATTCACGTTTATGAGGTAAACTATACATACATCAAATGAGATCCATATTCATATTTACCTTTTCATCTTTCTCAAAGTGCTCCAATTTAGATAACTTTCTAGTGCTTACAATTTCCTGAATCTGCAAAGGAAATAGGTAAATAAATTGGTCAATATACATTTCAAAATTTTCAGTCTTCTAAAATAGCGACTTACATGATCCTGCAATGACTTCCCAATAGCAGGAAGATGTTTGACTTGATCAACATTTTCAATTTTAAAAGATAATTTCTCTATCACTGGAATGGCTTTTTGATAACTAAATGACCTGCGCTCATCGCCTAAAGCTTTGAGCCATCAATGTACATAGAAAACAAAAGCAAAAATGTAATGCAAAATTTTGGCAGAAAAATACAAAAATGAATAATCCGAGTGAAAATGGCACATATCTTCTGCACACATACCTCTATAGATGTTTACAAGTTTCCCGAATATCTCAGTAATGTCCTTATTGAGATCAGGAGGACTGTACAGCGAAGATAACTGAAAGAAAACATATAGAGCACATAGTTAAGCTTTGGAGCCTCCAAGCATTAAGAAAAGGCATCCAATCGTCAGCAAATAAGCTATGCATGTAGGAGTGGAACAATTTAATAGAAAGTCATATTTTTATAAAGCATAAAAAGAAATCAACAGAAAACTAAATGTTGATGTACAACAACAGCTCCAACAGAAGCCAAAAACTACACGCAGTAAGTGGCAGACGGGGCTGCTCATAATGTTTCTGAACTATATTCTTTGGCCAATCATATCTATTTTTTTCAGACAAAAAAGTGGTTACTCTACACTTGGGTATGATCATACATTGGTCTAAAAGGAACAGGTCAGCCTCAAAATACCTTAAAAAGGATGCCCATACTTAAAAATGTACATAAACACATTCTACGGGTCAACTCGCCAAAAGAGTTCAAACTACTTCAAAGTAAACTCACAAACCAAACTCAAGATAAACTCACTAGCCCGATTCAAGATGAATTCGCAGGCAAAGCACAATATAGCTTGTCAGTCAAACACAAGACAAATTTCCCAATTGATCTCGAGAAGAATTCACCAAATTCATGGTAAAACCATCAAATAAACCAAGCTCAAGCATAGTCGCCCAAGCCCAGTAGCTTGTTCGGCTACTTCCTAAATGGATCAATGACTTCTCGGCAAGTTGACTGTAAGTCTGTGTTCTCAGTCAAGCTACACATTTCATGCATTTTACAATGAGTAACCAATGAGTTTTGCTTTATATTTTTCTTCTTCATGTAACTCAATATGTAGTTTTTTTTCTGTAGCACTCAAATAACAACCCAAAACTATAAAATTAGGGTTGTGAAAAGAGGCGGGGTGTAAGTAATCTAGCCTAAATTCCTGTAATTGATATTAATATAGTGAAATCTTATAGCTTCTCTCTCTAAATTACCACTTTTATCTCTCATTTTTCTCTTTGTGCTCTGTAAGATTCTGGTGTGATTCATGGGCATTTCAGTATTCAACAATAAAAGATATCTATAAGACATGCAACAACGTATCAAATAAAAGCAATAGATAAATTTATATGGATATTCCTTAGATGATGGATCTCACTTCTTTTGATTCTTCGGGAACATTAGTACCACGACCAAGAGGACTGGAGACACCATCTGAATCACTTTGCGTCTTGAGTTTTCTTTCATCTGTTGCCTCTTCATCCCTAAGAACTTTGTCTGAATCTTCATGGAAAGAAACACCTATCATGCTATCCTCAGCAGTGAGAGAATCATCTGCAGCTCTCAAACCATGAGCCACAGTTTTGCTCCTTTTGCTGGATAATAAATCATCATTGCAGGACTGAGATAATTTGGCATGCTCTTTGGATGTTGATGTTATAGTATATGAATCATAGGGCAATTTTTCTCCTGACTTCAAGCAGTCTTCCAACCATTGATAATTGATCAAACTCTGCAATAGACATTACCTATCAGAATACAATACATTATGAAGTCTAAACTTTTAATATAAAATTACACACAAGACTTGAAAAGCTTCTCAATAAAATAATTGAAACAAAAAGGAACAAATTTTGAGGCATAAGAGCCATTGAAGGGCAAAAACCCTCAAAGGAACTGGCAGTCGATCATTTTATTTAGGAATTTTGAGCATGTGCTGAGCTCAACCACTTGAAGTCAACTTGATGTCACCCCTAGAGGTCATTGTCGGTCAACTTTTTTTCGATTGATTAGATTTGAAAAATATGATATATGAAAATAAATTTTTGAGATTTAATTTAAATATAAAAGATATATAGTTTGGGTTTTGAAAGTAGTATATTTTAAATTTTAAAAAATGAGACCAAATGGATCTCATTAGTCTGATAGTTTGCAAAATCGTGTCTGATACCGCAAATACTACACCTTCCCGAGAGATAAGTGTAGACCTCAGCGATAGACCCAATCCTGCAAACTAAGAGATTTGTGACATCCGTTTGGTCTGCGAACCTTTTATATATGACCGACAAATTCCCCTATTTAATACAAAGATTAAATAGGGTTTATTTTACCTGGGTTCCAAGTTCCCTATAGAGGCAAGCCCCTATAGTTAATTACATCCCAAATGACGGGAGTCACTTGAGAAAACTCTCGATAATGATCAATGGTTCTAGTCTACAAGAATTCAAGGTTCAGGTTTTCGAGGTAGGACGTAGAAGGGCAAATGGGAGTGGCTCAAACATGAACAGTTATTTCAGGAGTCCAAAGGAAAGAAAAGGTAGGGGATGTCACAGATCCTGAGGAGAACCCTCAGTGACTTCCCAAACTATCCTAATGTGTGGCTGCATTTTTAGAGATGATGTTATTTAAATGTTCAATCCTGCCAATTTTATTAT